CCCCCCAAAAAAAAAAAAGCGCATAGTATGGGAAAAGACAACATAGTTTTTGTGTTGAAATAGTATGCCAGGAGATTCAAAACCCTCCGGAAAACAAACATGTGCACATACTTCTTGGACATATACCTTTGGATTTTACAAACATGAGAACTTTTACATGGGCAACTCAAGACCACATAGTATTGCTGTAGTTTATAGTGTAAACCTCATGTAAACCTCAGAAAGAGGGATCCGAATTCATTCTTTCTAAACTCCGTTGTAAAAGCACCCGTGCATTCTCCGTTATAATATAAATTGGGCTACAGGTGTCCCACCTAAAGTCCTACCGGTCAATCTACGAGTTTTTGCCTTTCTTACTTTGCCAAATCAAGCGAACTATTCTAGACCCAGTCTAGTTTAGTTTGACCGGTCACGTAATTTACACCATCATTTTTGGCGCCACCCGTGGGACCGTTAAGGCTTCTTCTCTTCTAAAACCTACCCACAAGAAAACCACTCGAAATGTCTTCCAGCCAACAGATCAACGCTATTTCTGCTCAGGTGCAGGCCACCAATGAGGGTGCTAGCACCCCAGTGACTGCAACCATACCGGTCATTTCAGCCCCGGTGTTGCGTCTGGGTCTGAGCTCTGTCCCGACGGCCAGCCTGATCAGTCCCTTCGTGACCCCTGTCCCTTCCGCTGGACCGAGGGTAACGTTCCCACCAAGCATGACTCAGTTCATGAATGACCCAGCCAACCTACAAGCCATCTAGGGCTTTGGCCAGGTCATGGCCATGTGCCAACAGAGTGGGGGGATGCCTTTTCTCCCTGGTATGTCCCCGTTCGCTCTTCCAGGCGCCGGGACCATGCCCCTACAAGCTCCGATGGCGGTGACGTCGTTCCAGACGCCGATGCCGCAGCCATCACCTTTCCAGTCCCAGCTGGTCAGCACCATGGCCTCTGTCAACTTGACCGACGCACTTAACGCTGCGGGGCCGTCGCGTCCCCCGCAAGCTATGAATCCGCAGATCACTCCTGATGGTCATTGCGTCTTGATTGAGAGCGATGACGGCGAGTGGGACATCCCGAAGGCCCACAAGAAGAAGAAAGGAAAAAACATCCGGCCAGCGACCTCCCAAAACTCCGCCTTCGAAAGGCTGGGGGATAGGGAGGAAGGCCAGAGGAAGTTAGCCAAGCAAAGGCTGGGGCAGAGCGTTGCCCATGTCAGCGCGTTCGCCCGGCTAGGCGAGGTGCGGGAGGCCGAGCCTGCCCGCACCCGGCGCTCCTGGTCTAACCGGCAAGAGCCAGCGAGGACGAGGGCCTCTCGTCAAGAAGAGGAAGTAGAGAGCCAGCCCAGGCTACCGGTGGCAAACCGGTTGACCATCCCAAATGACCGCGTCCAGCAGATGGAGGCAAAACTAGAGAGGCTGGAAAAGAAGGTCGGGGAGAAGAATGACCGGGACAAACCCTTGGCGGGGTCCCCGTTCACCACAAGGGTCCATCTGAAACCTTTCCCGCGAAAGGTCAAGATCGATGCCCCTAGGTTCACCGGGAAGGAAGATCCGGAAATCCATCTGGACTCCTTCAACCAGAGTGCAACCATGAACGGTTGCACTGATGAAGAAAAGTGCCTTCTTTTCTTCCAGACCTTGCAGAACCGAGCCACTGAATGGTTCAATAAGCTTCTCCTGGGAAGCATTGACTCGTTCAGTGATTTGGCCTCAAAATTCAAGGCCAAGTTCCAGGAGAATTGTACTAAGAGGAAGAAACTCACCTATCTTACTATAGCCGGGCAGAGGGAGTCTGAGAACCTTACTCAGTTCCTTACCTGGTGGAAGGAAGAGGTGGACAAGGTGGAAGAGATGGATGACAAAACCGTCCTCTCCCTCCTCTTGAATGGCTTGCGCGCTGGGGAACTATACAAGGAGTTCTGCCGGAAACCCCCAGCCACGTACCAAGAGGCCTACCATAATGCGTGGGAGTTTGCTGAGGCTGAAACTCAACTCCGGGCAAAGAGAGAAGCTGAGCATGGTCACAAGTCCAAGCCGGTGCAAGTCAAGAAGGAAGAAGCACCGGGACCTAGCCGGCCGAGGCACCACTATGACCCAGTCATCCGAGTGGTCAATACGGAAGAATGCCAAGAAGTCCGGAAAGCACCGGTCATTCCTCTAGAAAACCCTACCGGTCAAGTAGGGCGGCAGTGGTCGGGCACCTATTGTTCGTACCACAGGTCAGATTCCCATAACACCCACTACAAGAATTTGTCTGGTCTGCAACGGAAATCTGCTACAGACCCTTTACCGTAGCAGATCTGCAACGGATCAGCGACGGTTCCGTAACCTATGAAAAAAAATAAAATCTGCGACGGACGTCATTTTTCCGTTGCAAATCAGCAACAGAATATTTTACCCTGTCGTAAATTTGAATAGGTCAAATTTTGACCTGGTTATCTGCGACGGACCCTGAATTCCGTCGCAGATCCGTCGCACGGAAGTACTAAAAAACAAGATTGGTTTTTTCCCAGCCATTCGTCCTTCAAACCTAATCCCAATTTCTCTCTCTCCCTCACCCGTCCTTCAAACGCCACCCCTCCCCCACCCTCTACGCCCGTCCTCGCCGCCGACGCACGTCCTCGCCGCCAG